CTACTCCTCCTACTCCTACTCCTGCTGCTGCTGCTGCTGCTGCTAGTAACTAGTAGTAGTAGTAGTAGTACTACTACTACTACTACCACCACCACCGCTATCGTCCACTGCCACCGCTGGCGCCACGACCACGCCCTGTAGGACCAGCACTACCGCTACCTCCTGCCACTGCCGCTTACCACAATCCCTTAATGCTGCCTCCGCAACCGCACTACGCTGCCACTGCGGTCACTATCCCTAGCCTTACATACCCTTGCCACTACCACGGCCACGGTGACGACAACGTCCACCATCACCACCATCACCACCATCACCACCATCACCACCATCACCACCATCTCCACCACCGCATCCACCACCACCAGCACCACCACCAGCAGCAGCACCACCACCGCCGCCACCGCCGCCACCACCACCACCGCCGCCACCGCCGCCGCCACCACCACCACCACCACCACCACCTTCTTTGTCACGTGACCTCAGCTTTCGAAATTAACCCCAACAACGGATGCAAGCACCATGATAACCCAAAGGACGGCCCAAGCGTTTGTGCCCTCCGCCAACCATCATCCTGATACCGAATACGCAATGGCGAGAGCAGCGCTGCTGCTGCCTCTGCTGTGGTGCTTCTTGCGCCATGCTTGGGGACTGCCGGAAGGGAGCAGCGACCTGTGTGCAGCTCCGGTGTCGTCTGAGGAGACGTCACTGCTACAAGCCTCTGTAAGCGGTCATTACTTCCCTTCTTCCGGCTTCGCAGGTTCAGATGATCGCAAGAAAAGAAAGCGCAGGGGGTTCAAGATTCGCAAGGGACGAGCGGCATGGCGCAAGAGAAAGTGGGGCAAGCGGGCATCGGCCCTTCCGGCACAGCCGGAGAAGCCGGGGCGGTGGGTCAAAGGTTGGCGAGGATGGCATTTCGTCTACGCACAGGAACGGGCAGAAAGCCCGAGCCGGAACCACGAAATGATCGCCACCAGGACTCCAGAGAGCCTATAGCGTATAGCCTTAATTGTCAGTCCGAATACCCACGCCCATCCTAGAACGGAAACCCTTGTAAATCCTAAACCGATGAGCCCGTGATCCGAAGCTCTCAACAGCAGGACCTCCAGCAAGGCGCCGGTGTGTGAAGCCGGAAGCTTCAGCTTCTCCTTTAAGAGCCCCAGCGGCCCAGAAGAACTTCTCTCGTTTGGGTCCACCACTGGTAAAAGCAGTTTTTATCATTCTGATACACCGTCGTAATGGCTGTCATTCGCTGTGCATAGCAGTGCTAGTCTTGTAGCAGTAGTAGACAGAAGAAGAAGAAGAAGTAGTAGTAGTAGTAGCAGCAGCAGCAGCAGCAGGAGTAGTACTGTAGCAGTAGTAGTAGTAGTAGTAGTAGTAGTAGTACTGTAGTAGTAGTGCTGTAGTAGTAGTACTGTAGTAGTAGTAGTAGTAGTAGTAGTAGTTAGTAGTAGTAGTAGTAGTAGTAGTAGTTGTTGTAG